GGTGCTGAGCTATATCTCCAGCCCTGTATTTTATAATGACCTAGCATAGAATGTGCTTGACTTATTAAATCAGCAGTATTACTTGCATATTTTTCTTTTCATTTTTCTTTTTTTTTTTTTTGCAGAACCAGGGATTGAACTCAGGCCCATGTGCTTGCCAAGGAAGCACTTATTCCACTGAGCCATCGCCCCAGCCCTTTGCTTATTTTTCATGTATAGGGAAAAATCTTTTGTAAATTAGATCCCACATAGTTGGTTTGCTTTTTTGAGTCAGGTGTCTTGGTTACTTTTTGTTTGCTGGGACAAAATACCCAACACCCAGAATTGAGGAAGGAAAGGTGCTCACAGTTTGTGGAGGTTTCAGTCCATACCTGGCTAGCTCCAAGGCAGAGTGGCACATGGTAGAGGGCAGCAGTTCAGGTGGTGGAAAACAGCATAGAGGAAAGGGAGGAGCCGCAACTGAGGCAGCAAGCAAGCCTGACTCCCACCCTTATGTTGCACTCAGGCTATCCACCCCAGGGCGGGTGTAGTACTCACACCCATAATCCCAGCATTGGATCAGGAATTAATCACAGACTCTAGAAGCCTGCCCCAGTGTCTGCCTGAGGCTTTGGGGGGACAGCTAGACACACAGCATAACAACAGGTTCTGGCAGTGGAGTGCGGTTTGACCTTAAACTCACTCTGTATCCCAGGCTGGCCTTCAACTCCAATGATCCTTCTGGTTTAGCCTCCCAAATGCTGGAATTGCATGCTTGCACTTCCAGGCCCAGCCATGTAAAATACAGTAAAGTTACAGAGCATATTTAAATCTGTCTAGCTAATGTTACTTTTTCTTCTCCTTCCTTTAGGGTTTTTGTCTGTTTTCACTTTTTGGTGAGGTGCATAGGGTCAAATCTAGGGCTGTACCACTGAACTGAATGTATCCCTAGGTTCCAATTTTGTCCTAATTATATTTTTAATTTTTTCCTTATTTCATCTAGCATTTGTGTGTATGTCTTTTATTTAGTACTGGGGATTGCATTTGGCCTTCCTACTAAACTACATTCCTAGTCCTTTAGAAAAAACTGTGATTGCTTGGCATGGTGATATATGCCTGTAATCTCAGCACTTTGGGGGGCTGAGACAGGAGGATTGCCCTGAGTTCAAGGCAAGGCTGAACTCCATAATGAGTCTGTGTCTCAAAACATAACAAATAATTTAAAAAAAATCTTTAAGACAGGGTATTGCTAAGTAGTCCAGGCTAATTCAGACTGGGATCCTCCTGCCTCAGCCTCCCAGAGTGCTGAGATTACAAGTGGGCATCACTATATCTGGTTCCTGAATGTAGTTTTATGTAATGTTTTATCTGTGTGCAGATGTATACATTTATGTACACACATATATGGATACCTAATGTAGAAAGACAATAGGAGTATTTGTATACTTATAGTACTTTAAAAATAGAAGATTCAAGATTGCCTATTTGCCCATTACTGATTATATCATCACTTTCTTCCTTTAGTTAAGTGTTCTATATCTAGCTTAAAACTGCTTTCAGCCAGGCATGGCAGTGCATACCTATAATTCCAGCTACCTGGAAGGCCAATAGGAGACTTACAAGTTCAAGCCCAGCTTGAGCAATTTAGCAAGACTTTCAAAAGCATGAATGAATGGGGTTGTAATTCAGTGCCAAAGCCTTTAGGTAAATCACTAGTACTGCAAAAGCAAGACAAATCAAACTGCTTCTGCATTAAAAAAAAAAAAAAAGAAAGAAAAATTAGTATCCCCCTGCTTTTTTATGTATTTAAGCCCAGGGTCTATAGGGCTTC